CAGCTGGAGTTGCAGAGAGCTGTATTTCCACTCCTCTGGGCAGTGGTGTAACCTCTTTCCATGTCCTTTGGATACAAGTGCAAAATAGCAAAGAGCAAAGCTGCCCTGATAGAGCAGGACCCTGCCATACAATTAAATTTCTCGAGGAACCTGAAATACCCCAAAATGTACATAGGTTGCTCCAAAAATAATGTATCCTATTTATTTCTATGGAAATGACAACAGATACAAAGAACACAACAACACTGATAGAGCAAATCCTCAGCTACAAAACACTATTTTTCAACATAATCACCACCACTAGCTATGCATTTTCACCACTGATAGATAAAAGCCTGCATGCCACACTTGTAAAAATCAACAACAGTGGAGCTGACCCGCTGCATCACTGTTGAAATGCACTATCCACTGCTTCTGTTTGCTCACATTCACTGTTTGGTCTCCATAAATGTTCAACAAGTGCTAATGAATGTCACTGGGTGCCATATTCTCCTCAAGGAGGAATTCAGTGGCATGCTTTTGCTTCATACCTACTTCCAAGTCAGACGCCATTTTGTCAGACTGCCCCTCTGTTGCCATCTGTCATATGGTAACAACATATAATGGAATATTGGTGGGAAGGCTTAACCTCTACTGCTATACCACCAACATCTGTAAATATAATAAAACAGGAGGCATTATTTTTGGAACAGCCCTCTTAATAGCAAACATCACCCAGAAGAGGAGACACATTGTATTCAAAATTTCCCCTAGGAACTCTCCTGTAAGCATCATGCGTCTTGCATCTGCCTCAGGTCTCCATCAATTCTTCTGTCCCCAGATCCTTACAAGGGCCTAAATGTTTGTCAGATCACCACACAGAAGGTGAAAAGAGGAATTCAGCTGATGCCAGGCTCTGAGATCCAGCATGAAACATTCTGTGCAGTTCTTTGGCCCTGGGGAAATGCAGAATAAATGCAGTTCACTGCCTCCAGTGAACTGATGCAGATCCTTGAAAACTTTATTTGCTTATCTTATCCCTGCCACCAGTGTGTTAGCATTGCCCTCAAAAAACAGACAACAAAATGTACTACAGCATCAGGGTTTATTTCTGGAGGAAGCTGGAGCGCTGCCTGGAGAAGAGAGAAGGAATTAGTCACAGGTTTGAACACACTAGTGAATGCAGCCTGCCTGGCAACAAGCAGGGCTGAGCCTGGGAACCATTGGTTACTTTAGGACCCCAAGCTGCTGTTCTGTTCTCTTGTTCCAGACCGAACACTGACTTAGCCCTGTTTGGCTTTGTTTGTCCTGACTGGGAAACACTAAGGTCTAATAAATATATTGAAGCCATGACACTGGCAGATCACCTCTGGAACATCACAAACAGAGGGGCCGTAAGATAGCCCCGAGGAGGAGGAAGGTAGGGTGGATTTTCCTATCATAGGAAGCCAGGAAGGATAGGTACATGGTGAATGTCTTCATTTCATCCAAGAGGACTTAGACAGCTACAGACTGCCCAGAAGGAATTCCTCTTGTGTGAGCAGCTCCTCTGCATGCAGGTTCTATCATCTTCCTCTCAGGGCTTTGCAGGGAAGCACAGTTTGAACGTGACAGAACAGGAGCAACCACAGTTAAATGCTGAGATAGCAATCACAGCCATTCCTCAGCTCTATTTATAGGTCTTCCTCCTACCCTGAGCAGCTCTGTCCCACCTTGGGCCAGCTGCAGAGCTGGAGATACCCTAGAGCTTCCCACAGACCACTGAAATCCAGGGCCTGGCCATCCAAGATAGGATGTTGGAAACAAAAGCCATCAGCATACCTGTTTGTACAGGATGTGGTTCCATCGATAGGAAGATATTCCCACCAGTCTGGGCTGGTTTCTGTTTAATTTTCCTCCATAGTGAGGTTTCACTCATGCTAGCTGATTGTTGCAATACGCTGCTGGGAGCTGCAACCAAGCATCATTATTTTAAGAGATCTATAGGAATTAAGGTCCAGTTTTTCAAGGAGACTTCATCCGTTAAAACAAAACAAAACAAAACCAGGACTCATGCATACTTTAAAAAGGTACTCTCTAGTTTTAGTATCAAAACAAATATCCAAGCAAGTACCCTTGCAGGAGCAGGCAACCAAATCCAGAGCAGCACATAGCTGCATTACAAGGTACATCTTTCTTTTAAGAGCACAAAGCACAAACAATCTGACTCCATGTGTCTTTTGAGGCACTGTCCATGCAACACAAATGTTCTTCTGTCTGACTGTGCATCAATATGAGCAGCCAAGTGTGCCCTAACTACATATGCAGACAAATGAGAACTTCCATCTTTTTGGTCTTACCTCTGGGACCCCTAATCTCAGGAAGACTAAGTATGCATTGGTACAAGGAATAGATTAACTCAGCTTCAGCTTTTTTCACCTCATAAAATGCTGCACCTTGTGCTCCCCTGCCAGGATGCATCTGATGCCTTTGTGTTTGCCAGCTACTGCTCATTCCTACTCCTAACCCAGTGCAGCAGTGGGACAAGTAAACCTATGAAGAACTCACCTAGTGCTTTCAGACATTCTATATGTAATGTGTGATTTGTTTTGTCAGGTTATCTATTGCTCAAATGCAAAAGATGCAGTGATTCTGAAATGAATATATGTGGGCTGTACCTGAAGGCACAACAGAATCATTCAATTTCCTCTCCCTTACCTGTGCAGAACTCTCATTTTTAACTTTGCCTTAGCTACTAGCTGATGTGCCAGCTGCATTTTGGTAATGACTTGTTTCTGCACCTCCAGCTAACCACAAATTGATCTTCGCATGCCAAACCTTGGCTGCTGATACTGAGTTGTTAGGAAGAGGCTTTTTACAAATCAATAGCAGTCCGAGTTCATTCATATGCCCTTCTGTGAATTTCCACTCAGGTTCTTCCACTGCCATTAGTTATGGCAGTTGGCATTCCAAAAAGAGATCTGGAAAATGGGACTGGATTTTCAGATCTACAAATCAGGAGAGAAGGAACAAGCTGGGGTTATCACCTGGCTGCTGCACTGCAGGTCTTTCTTGCTTTGAGTTTAACTGAGTCATCAACTCCTTGATGAAACGGTGGCTACTCTCTCCTGCTTTCTGTCCCTGTGCAATTCCATTTCCTTGCTGCTAATTGGGTCAAACAAGATTTCCCCATGTACATGGGCAGTTGTAGCATCAACCAGTAATCCACTAATTCCCTCAAACACACAGGAGTCCCTGAAGTGCAACTCTACAACTGCCTTTTGAAAGAGTTGTATTTCTTCACCACCTACCAGATTGATGTTATGCTGTGATCAAAGTTGTCCTTGTTCTCAGAGCAAATTCCAGCGTAGTTAATTGTTTGCAGCTTACATCATGCATTTGATCAGCAGAAATTCTCAAGATGTCACTACCTATACTAAAGCAAAAAGCCTTTGAAAAGGAAAGAGTTTTTTCTCGAGGTGGACAGGCTTTGATACTTCCTGAAGTCATCAGCACAAGCATGTCTTGAGAGTCGAAATGGTTTACTCTGACTTTGTGAGAAGACTGGCAGCCACCACTGCTGTCAGAGCCTTTTAATATCACTCTAGGCAGCGTGTTGTGTGATAAAGCCATTATTGCACCCCAGCCAGGCACCTCACACTGATGTTGATATTGCTTCCTTGTTGTGTTACTGAGCTCTTCATTCCTAGCATATTGGTGAGCACCTAGAGGGCACAGGGACCCCTCAATCGCGTATTTAATGTACACTTTGGGGTATTATGAGTGCTTTCAGTGTTTTCCTTCTTGGAGCTGGAGGCACGGGTGGATGCTAGGCCCCGTCCTGTGATAGCAGACACTGGCTGCACTGGGCCCTGGTCTTTCAGGGCCAGCTTTCTCTGACACGCGGTACAGGAAGCCACGTTCGATGAAAGGTTCTGCTTTGTAAGATGCTTTTGCATCGGCGAACACATTTTAAGTGTGCTAAGGCAGCAGGTCACTAGATGGCCTCATAACTTAGGAGATGAGGGCAGATCCAGCTGAGGCCATGCTATTTGCGCTTAAAAACTAGCCACCCTTGGAGATCCATTTTGAAGCGTGGAATTTCATAGAACCAGAGAGACCTAGAATGGTTTGGGTTGGAAGGGACCTCAAAGCCCACCCAGCCCCAACCCCCTGCCATAGGCAGGGCTGCCACCCAGCAGCTCGGGCTGCCCAGGGCCCCATCCAGCCTGGCCCTGAGCGCCTCCAGCGATGGGGCACCACAGCTTCTCTGGGCAGCCCGTGCCAGACGTGACAGAATTCAGCTCTCCAGGAGGCGCGCGGCTGAGCTGCCGCTTTAAGGGGGCGGGGTGGGGGCGGGCGCGGCGTGGCGCTGCGCGGCGGGCGGAGCGGAGCGGAGCGGCGCCGGCAGCAGGAGGTAGGTGTGGGCCCGGCGCTGCCTGGCCCTGAGGCGCGGCGCGGTGAGGCCGGGCCCGGCGGAGCGGCCCGCGGGGTGCGCTGCCCGGTGCTGGTAACTGCTGGAAATGAATGCGGCGCCGCTCAGCGTCGTGACGGGCGGTGCGAAATTTAAGCTGCCTCATCAACCCTGCCGTTTTGCAGCAATTCATGGGGAAAACCAGCGCGCAGCGTTGTCTGGCCAGATTTATGCGTGTCATTGATTCTGGTTAATCTGGTGCTTCTCTCAGGCAGATGGGGCCTGGGTAGCTGTGCCTTCCAGAAGGAAGGCGTTCATTGATTACATTCGTTAATTACGTGGGCTTTGCTGAATAGCATTCTGAAGCGTGGAGCAATGAGAAACATTGTGACGGGTGCTTATTAGCAATACAAATACAAAGCCTTCAGCCAATGATTTAAAGATTTAACTAAATTGACCTAAACAGCGAGCACTATGGGAGTTTAGTTCTTAATTGCTTTAGGAAGCCATCAAGCAATAATTAGACTGCCCAGAGAAGCTGTGGTTCCCCATCCCTGGAGGCACTCAGAGCCAGGCTGGATGGGGCCCTGGGCAGCCGAACTGCTGGGTGGCAGCCCTGCACACGGCACAGGGTTGGGGCTGGGTGAACTTTAAGATCCTTTCCAACCCAACCCATTCTATGATTCTGTGAACTAAAGCATAGGCCAACACACGCACAGAATGCCACGTGAAGCACACTGACATACCATGCTCCCACTCTCCTTGCCTTCACTGCCTGTGACATGGAAACCAGCCCTGAGTGGTGTCAGCAGGTCCCTGTGGGCTGCTGTGCCCAGTCTGGATATCTTGGTTTCCAAAGGCAGCTTGGAATGCACTCAGTTTGCTTTCCCTTGTGTTAGCTTGGAGTGTGTCACTGTGGTTTCTCACAGGAAATGGGCTACCACAGTGGAGGTTTGCTTTCTTCTGCACCTGAGAGCATCCACGTGAGACTTCTGCACTGTAAGACCATCTTTAAAATACAGCCTGAGGTGCGAAAAATCAATTACGGTTGGTTCTTGAGCTGGTTTTAGATTTTGAAGCTGGAAGCCTGACTATTCTGAGGGAGAAAGAGGAAGGTCCACTGAGGAGATCCTTGCCTTTGATGTAAAAACATAATTTTCATATAAGGTCATCTCTGTGAGAAAGCTAAAAATTAGTGGCATCTCCCAGAACCCATAGTGATGATCTTTGCTCTGTCCATAGGTCTGTAATTCCAGAGCCCTGCTACCAAAACTAATGATGCTGTGGTAGAACCTTAAATGAGAGCAGCTTTCTCTGCCTGTGCCCTCAAGGCAGACGAAGATATTATAAGGCCACATTATCTAGCTTTTAGCTTTGTCGCTGACTGTTTCTCTCTGGGTATATTTGTAGCACTGTCCCGGATGGATAGCTTCTCTGTTACCATGTTTCCTGCTGGCCTTGCAGGCTCCCCAGAGCAAAGCGCCAGTTCTTGATGGCACAGCAGCAGCTGTACCTCCCCAAAGCCTTACCAGTACATGGTTCTGAAGCCACAGAAACATCATTTATGTCACGTTTTCCTTTCAGGAATCATCATCCATCACTATGAAAAACAGCATGCTGTGAACTTGCTTCAAGCCTTCTCCCTCATCAGCTGTCCCTGACCAGCTGTGCTCTGAGCTTGTCTTTGGGGACATGGCCTTCAGCAGCTGGAAACGGCTGCTGCTGTTGGGCAAGGCCTGCAGGAGGGGAAGCCGTGCTCTGCGCTGGAAGCGCTGCTGCCACTGGAGTGCTGGCAAGTCGCTGGACCCTGAGGTGAGAGCATTTTTGGAAGAGAACACGGAGGTGACCAGCAGTGGGCACCTGACACCAGAGATCCGGCTGCGCCTCCTCACCCCTCGCTGCAGGTTCTGGAGGGAAAAGCCCGACCTGTGGCCATATGGGGACCCGTTCTGGGCAATTTACTGGCCAGGAGGCCAAGCCCTGTCCAGGTACGCATCACTGAAGCCAGTAAGTTCAGTCCACTAACTAGCATCTCACCACTTGATTGTCCTATTATCTATGCACTCGTTTAGAGGCATTGGAAGTGTCAGAAATTAGCTGCACAATCTGAAAAAGGAATACGGGAACATGAGAACACACTGCTTCTTTAACCATCCTTGTTTCACAGCTGGCATTTCCACCATTCCAGATTTCATGCAACTTGCAATGTAAGACAGCATGTTAACCCAGCATGGCAGACAGCAGGCTCCAACACCAGCACAGTGTCTGTGCCAGAGGATACGTTGGTTCGACTGTCCTAAATGAGCACAGTCATGAGGGGTAACTTGAGAAGCATTCCACTGGAAACACAGCACTTGGGCCAGGCTGTGCTCTCCTTGTTACTGCAGGAGCATCACTGCAAGTGCAAGCACAGCCGCAGAAGGAGGAAGTGGAGTGCTTTCTCTGGTGGTCCCATCCATCCTTTGCCCTGGTAGTAAATTGGCTCTCCTGGGGGAGTGAAGGCTGCAGAGGGGGGACAAAGCTGGATTTCAGACCTCGCAAGAGAAGGTTATTTTCATTAAAACTAAGCCAGTTTCACTCACTGGTCTTGTATCTGCATAATCGAGCACCAAGCTGTGGGTGTCAAAGCTGTCTGGTAGAACTCCTTGTGATGAAGTGCAGGACGAGGGGCAAGGGATGTCAGCTCCTCTATGTGTCCCAAGGTCCTCATCAGGATATTCTGCGTCTTCACTCCTGGTCCCGGCCTCCTTGCTGCCATCTCACAATATCTGTTTTAGTTTGCAGGTAGGGTGTCTTGTTCTCCCAGCCTGGGTTCCTGGGTGTATGCACACAGATGTGTTGGGATCCAAGTTCTTGATTTTTTTGTATCAGCGGAAACAAATAGGGATCTATACAGAAGCTGCATATTTGGAATAAGTGTCCTTTAAGATACCATGTTTTGCTACATGTATGATGAGAACTTTTTCTGCAGCACAATATAGAAGCAAGAAACTTGCATATCTGGTTTATTGCTCTGACAGTTTTTTTCTTTTAAACGCAGGTACATTCTGGATAATCCATGTGTTGTCAAAGGGCGATCTGTTCTGGATCTTGGAAGTGGATGCGGAGCAACAGCAATAGCTGCTGTGATGAGTGGTGCATCTCAAGTCCTTGCTAATGACATTGACCCCAGTAAGCCCTTCTTTTCCTACCTCTGTGCAAAGATCTTTATTATTTTTACAATATATTTAAAACTTTTCCCTCATTCACTTGGCAGAATCTGTTTCCAGACAGTTTTAAGAATGCTAAAAAGAACACTAAAAAGGCTTTTGGCAGTACTAGAAGCTGGGTTGTACCACCCTTTCTTGCACCAAATGCATCTCCATAGCTCCTTAGAATGAATGCACAGCTAAGTTTCTATCAAATGTTTCTTATACATCTGCTTTGGAAGAGAATTACAAGTGAAGCTGTTGTCTTATAAATGTATTCTGAGAGATTTTAAAATCAACAGGTGTTTAGAGAGGAGACATGGCTTCATTTCTGTGCAGGGCATAAGGTGAGTAATCTCCACAAAATTAAGACACTGAGTCTTCACATCTTCTTCCACTTATATTCAATTATTTTTAATATATGCCTATCTAGTACGTAAGTCACACATACCTACTACATATTCATAGGATTATACCAGTACAAGATCACACAAACATAACTGAGGCCTCTGTGTCTGTGTGGGGGTCTTTGGTGATCATTTGGGGAGGTGTCCCCCTACTCACTGCATCCATGTTTGGGCACAGGCTTTCCCAACACACCTGGTCTCTAATGATTGGTCTCTGTTTTGGACTTGTGGCCGTAGTTCAAGGATGTTGCTCTTTTTATAGAAGTCTTGTGGGCAGGAAGGATGTTTCTCATAGATAAGCAGTACATCTGGAAGTTACAAGCAGAACTAGAACTTAATTTGGCAAAAATGGCAAATAATTAGTTCTGAGACATCACAGCTGGCAAGTTGGTTTCTGTAACCCAAAGAATTTTCCTGAGTTTCATATGTTAGGGCCTAGATTTTACCCTTCTTTTTTCCCCCAGGATTTGTTCTGCAACAGGTTGCCCAGAGAAGCTGTGGGTGTTCCATCCCTGGAGCACTCAGGACCAGCTTGGATGGGATCCCCAGGAGCCTGGTCTGCTGGGTGGCAGCCCTGCCCATGGCAGGGAAGTTGGAACTAGAAGATCCTGTCCAACCTAAGCCATTCCATGATTCTATTTGATTTTGGGATTTTTTCCCTTGTATTACTTGTGAAAGTAGTTTATTCATAATTTGATTATTCAGTGATTAAGGAGGAAGTATAATGATAGATTGAGATGTGAGGTTTAACACATAATGAAAGTTGTGGGAGTCTCTACATTAGATAAGCAAAAATACTTGTGATGAAAGATGGAACTTTTGTCAAACTTGCAGAGGGCTGTACAGTAGAATCCTAAAACAGCTTCAATTTTACTTTGTGACTGTTTTTCAGTTGCAGGAATGGCAATGAGTTTGAACTGTGAACTGAACCACGTTGCTCCCTTTCCCATCACCATTAAGAACATCATTAACTCAGAAGCTGGCAAGTGGGACCTCATTGTTCTAGGAGATATGTTTTACGATGAACAACTTGCTGATGATCTTCATCACTGGCTGAGGAAATGCATCAGGATACATGAAACTGAAGTGCTGATCGGTGACCCCGGCAGGCATCAGTTTTTAAGCCACAGCATTCACAATCAGTTGCGTAAAGTTATAGAGTATTCACTTCCCGAGTATACTAGACAAGAAAACAATGGATTAACATCAAGTATTGTCTGGAGTTATCAGCCCTCAAATAGCCTAGAAAGCTGTTAAAAGTGGCTCTCTAATGAACTTTGTCTCACGTGGCTGTTTCCTGAGTATATAAAATGGGAATTGAACGTGGAACACGTCTGTTGACACAAAGCAGGATGTTCCTTCACCGTGCTTATTTCAGTCATGTTCATTGAGGCTTTGGCTCTGTTTGAGGTCAAACTACATGCAAACTTTATTCAGCAAGGCGTGCTGAAGTGCAAATCCAAAGATAATTACACTTTGGAGTTTGCTTGCTTGATGTTTCAATCTGTGTTAATTTCACTCTTTGACACCACTGTGGAACATTTTAGATATCCAGTACACCCCGTGAAGAGAGAAGAGGGCTGTTGAGAGTACTGTGCTGCTTTCACACAGTTCCGCAGTAAAGATGTAGGTTATTGTGTTGTATATTTAATTCCAAGTGCCTTACTTTTTTTTTTTTTTTTTTTTTTTGGGTTAATCTCTTCTGAATGTCCAAGTAACTAATTTGAGGCTCCCCCTTCCCTCTAAAATAATAAAAAAAATAAATGCTGCTCTACCTTGAAGCTGTCAAGAACGATTATTTAGGAAGTTGCAACTGAATCCAAAACATGCTGCTTGTGCTGTAGCCAAAGTGTTTAATGACTAGACAGCCATAGAGTAACAATCCTTCAAAGAGAACATTTAAGCACATCTATGTTCTCCAACACTGCAAGCATAAAAAAAAAGAGTTGATTTGTGATGGAAAACAGACAGGCTGAGGCTGGAAGGGACCTCTGGAGATCATCAGGTCAAACCTCCTGCTCAACAGGGACACCCATAGCGGTATGCTCAGAGGACTCTCCAGGCAGCTTCTAGAGATCTCCAGGCAGGAGATTCCACAACCTCTCTGGCAACCTTGTATCAGCTCTCTGTTACCTGTACAGTTAAGAAGTGTGTCCTGATGTTCAGATGAAACTTCAAAGCAAACAATGAAGACGTTTTGCAGTTAGCTACAAAATAAGCAGCGGTAAAGAGCTAAACACCAAAGAAGGGAACACGATGCGCCCACAACTATCCAAACCCCACATGATGATGTGGTAGAAGCTTGTAACTATGAAAAAGTGGGTGGCACTCAGAAAGAGAGACTGCTTACAAAATAGGAAGTGAACACTCACACAAATATGACATTCAGACATCATAAAATGTATCTTAACACGTTTTCAGAAATATCCAAACAGAAGACTTACTGGCTTTAATATTCAAAGCAATATACAAATATTTGGCAGTGCTCACTCAAGAATCTACAACAGTAACACACAAGCACAGTATCAAATATGGACTGGTAAGCACATACACAATGTTCATCTCCAGCTTCATTCCTGCACTCTTAAACATCTATTAAAAATGACTGTGTCTCAACCTGAATCAAAAAAGATTCCAGTAGAAGGATGCTAGTAACAAACCTCTCAAACAGCAGTCTTGAGCTCTGGAAGTGAAGGACTGACTGAGACTCAAAATTTGAAGCCTAAGAATGCAGCATTACTCATCACACTGATGCACTGTTGTTTTTTTTTTTTAAAGCACAAAGTGAGGTACAGCACTAAGTTACACATTCAGAAAAGACTGCAGAAGAACATTGAATCTGCATGCACATCTAAGGACAGTGTAAGCTGCATTTGCCTTTAATGTGACAAATCCAGAGTTACATTAGCAAATGGCTAGCACTGTAAGTGTCCTTTGCTGTTACAGACCTCAGTGGTCTTCCACCTTAAGCTGCTTTATATATTTCCATTTATAATTTTCTTTTTGAGTGTAGCACTTGAGAGATTTAGTCAGAGAAAGCCCTGAGTTAACTGGCTGAGCTCAGAGCTGGCCTTGATTTGGGCAGGAGGCTCCTGGAGCCTCTTCTCACTTCTGGTAGCTAATGATGCCACCTCTTTTTGTGGCACCCTTCCTGAAATCAGACACAACAGATCAATTACTTCATGCAAAAAGAGTTAGAGATTTATGTTCCCGAGTTTTGGAATTATGCTTTCAGTTACACATGAACAAGTTTTCTAAATGGACTTGCTCTTCCATAAGCCATATAATCAAGAGAGAAGCAGAGATCATTGTCAGATACTGTAATATCCTTTAACAATACTGGATGCATTATCTTCCATGCCATTTGTACTGTACTTTAAATAGGTTAGTAGAAGACACTTTTATTTCTGCAACATTTAAAATCAGCATGAGCTAAAACAAGCATTAAATTCTAAAATAAACACTCCTTACTGTTGTCTAAACTCAGTCATTTTTGAAAGTCATCAGATCCGAGTAAGACCTGCCCAGCTAAATCCTGCTATTTCCAAACGTGGAATATCAACACAGTGTGCTGTCTGCTCTCTGCACTGCTGAAGTTACTAGCATTTTTAGAAGTTTAATGCAGAAATCATATAGGTCTTTATGTAAGTTCTACTGCTTCAACAAAGCCAGTGAGCATGATTCGTAATTATGATGAAACCACAGTTCTGTCACAAGCAATTCTACACTTACAATTTTTTAAAAAATGACTACAGTCAAACAATACATAAACAGTCAATTTCATCTTCTAGAGGCCACTGGAGATGGGATAAACTGTATAAACCAGAACACAAACTTTGCTGAACTCTTCTGTCTCAAGATTCATGTACTCCAATGCTAAACGTGGTCTTACTTCACTCCTAGCTATGCTTACAGAGACCAATGCTTTGTTCCCTCCAATGATTTTGCAATAGGAGAAAGCCAGAGCAAATGAGTATCATATAAGATTATTTTATCAGCCATCAGCACTATTCTGAGATTTGTTAAACACTACAATAATTCCAAAGATCTTCTGTGTTTGCATGTTTCAGACCGTAGTTTTAGATGTGTAAGACTCCTGTAAATACCGATGGTAAATAAAGACAGAAACCTGTAACATCAATAACATCAAAAGAAAGGTACGTACAGTTTTTTCCTCCAGACAAACAAGCTATAATTATCCTCTCAGAATAAAAACTCAGAGTAGGGACTTAGTAAGACCAGGTCTGTGTAGGTAGCTAAGATGCTAAAACATGCTTAATAACGGCCAAATCTGATTGCTCAAGGAGGCTGAGAGATGACAGTGTAACGCTGACTGTAATTTAACTTTCCTTTTAAGGAATCATGATCAGTGCTGCAAAGACAGACAGGGCTCTTAAGCAGTCGCTAGGGAAGCTCAGACTTGCACTCAAAGACAGGAATGGCAATAGAGACCTCTGGTGGGAAGAAGCAGAGAAGCAATCTGCAGGTACAGAAGTCACCAGCTGTTTATTAGAGGTGCTTCTTTCCTGAAACAGCTCTCCTAACTGTAAACTTTACACTCATACATAAGCAGACAAAAAACAGTCAGTAAACGGTCCACGTCACTTGCTTGATTTTGTTTGAGATGATGAGTTGCTCTAAAACATCTCGTGAACGGTCTACAAAAGAGAAAAAGATATTGTTATTCCTTCAGAATAACATACAGGTGCTGTTTAGAATCGGCTTAACAAAATAAACTAATTTTATCTGCATTTATGCTCCACTTTTTAATGCACATAGAAAATGAACATAGGAAGGACACAGATCATCACTGTTCTAACATCTTGTCCTGATCTATACTCACAAACAAGCACTTTACTCTCCCTGTAAGACTAAATTTCTGTTTTAAAAATAACTTCATGACAACTTCATAGTTTATTTTTTTAAAAGAGAACTCAGTCATAGAGGGAAATAAAACACAAGATGCAACAATGAAGGTCAATTTTGGCCTTAACAAAGCACTTCTCATGCTGTTAGGCACTTCATGTTCTTTTGCATGAGCAAATTTTTCTGAATCCAAAGACAATAGTTCATTTCCTTCAAAAAAAATTTACCCCATTACCCTCCACAGAAGACTGAAACTGGGGCCACACTGATACCATTCCATCTTGGTTATTCATAACTGGTTCATAGAATCATACAATCTGTGATTAAGTGTCTTACTCTTAGTATCAGTTTCAATAAATATGTACCTGTTGCATTAATACAAAGTTTAAAAACAATCATTTCAACCACGTCAGACTCAGTAAAAGCTAAGTTGGGATTCCTACAGCACATGTAATTCAACACTCTTAAGCATATTTATCACTGTGTAACACTGATCATATTTTTCTGACTCACACCTCGTATTTTTCTGACTTTGTAGGACTTTGTTCTAGATTGCTTTCATAAGAAAGTTAAAAAAAAAAAAATCTAGTTTCATATAGAATATTTATTAATCTATAAAGTCTGATGTCAGACAAGCAATGGGAAAATTTGTAACATGTTTAGAAAATCAAGAGATAGCCTGACTTGACCCACCTGTTATCAACGGGCATCCATGGAACAGAACAATGTGTATCTTCGGACAACAAGTGAGCACTGCTTCCACAGCAACATCTGTCAGATTAACACAGCGTTCCATATGGATCTCCTGTGTTAAGAAGACAGTAATAATATTAAAAAATGCCTACCAGAGCACTCTCAGTTTTGGAGGTAAAGCTTCCATTTCCCCAGTGCTTTCAGAGATTCCTCACCCAGAAGAAGTTATGACCTACTGTTCCTCACTGCATTGATCCCTTATGTGGTTGTGTACAGACCAGCAAAACACTCTCAGGAAAAAAAAAAAAAAAGAAAAAAAAAAAAAAAAAAAAAAAAAAAAAAAAAAATCAAGACAGCTTTTTTAGTTTTGACACCACAAAAATCTAAACCCATAAATTTAACTTTTCTCCAAATGCATGCATTATTCAAGACACCTGAAAAAACTTTTCTGTGAGATTCCACAGAGTTTGAGTCCCAACAGTTTTCCTATCACACATTCTCCTACCAGTTTGTTTTCATGCAGGACAGAATGACTTTCTTCCTGGCAGTTTTCTTCCATTTGGCTTTGACAGGTTACTATCAAATGTCTGTTGTTCCTGTTAAAAATCAGTGTTCTCCAGGCTACTTTTTACATCAATAAACACAACATATAAGAAGAAACACTGAGAATGAAACATCAGAGCTAATGAAAATAGGATCTGGGGATATATTCTTCAGGCACCCCAACAAAGCACTGTTTAATTGTGAAATCTCTTTCCAAACCATGAGCTCCAAGGATCTTGAAAGGGCACATAAATGAAAGGGAGCTTTTGCAATAAATGTAATCTTGAACAGAATGACGACACAGAAAGTGAGAACTGTATTCACTGAAGCAAGAAATACAGAAGCTGATGTTTGTGTGTTTGTTCTTAGTTCATTACAAGCAGTAAGTGAAGTGCGGAATCTGAACGCCTCCTGAAGTAAAAAGATTTCACAATCTTGCTACTTGCTAGCTTGATCACTTTAAGACACTACTTATTTCACCCGTGCCTGACACTGGACCACTGCCTATACATTTTGCACGTTACTTTCACGACGTGAAGCAGATGTATAAGGATCAGGACATAGATAAGGAAGAGAGACTGAAGAAGAGACTAACAAATAGCGCCGCATTTTCCTTTCTTTTTGTCACTGCTTGTACAGACCTAAACTTCTCTAGTCCTGTATACTGATAGAACACAAGTTTTGTTTTTAAATTATGTCATTCCACGTAATGATATAAAAGCTTGCTTTAGTAGAACTGCCAACAAAAACCCACCTAAATACAAAAGCATCTGAATGTATGGTTTTTAAAAAGACTGTAAGCACAGGAACATGTTATTAAGCACAGCACAGCAAAGAAACAAAATCCACACTACGACTCAGTCTATTTCCTTCTGTAATTCCTTTGTTAGTAGATTTGATAGTTTACCTTTAAATTCTTTGAACACATTCCGCTCACTAGTGCTATAACACCATCATCTGTTACCTAGAAGAAAAAACCAACACTTATTAACACATTGGATTAAAGCTCCATTTTTCAAACATGACTATTTGGGAACGACTTCTTATATTAATTTATACTCTCCCCACAGTCACTTAATACATCTAACAGGAATGTATTTTCTTCCAAACTAGGTTTGCAGAGAAAACTATCCAAGTATATTTTTTTCCCATCTATTAAATACTTGCATCATACTACATACGTGATTCAGCCCAGCTGTGGAACTGCTGTATCTGTGGCTTTGTGGGCTCATTTAACAGTGGGTGTATGGCATTTTTAATTTATAAGCCCTAAAGCACTTCTGCTCTATGTGAACTAATTTTCCTGCTGTTTTCATGACTGCTGAAAATGTTCCCTGCTGGAAACATTCATGAAGGAAGCATCTTGGGTAGAAAAAAAAAAAAAAGAAAGAAAAAAAGAGTAATCACAGCAGCCTTTTATCTGTAGTCCTACTTTCACTCACGTGGAAGCAAACCAGCTAATTAGCACAAAATTCCCTCAAACGAACAGTCTTTCAGCACTCATCATACACTTGCACTAAAAGGTTTTATCAGATTGGCTATTGAAAACCACAAAGCAATGATTATCTGCAAGAGAAAAAGAGAGGCACAGAGGGCTTTCCTCAGAAAGGCAAGTAAGAACAATTTAAATGTTCGCTTCTGGGAACTAAATTCATTAAAATTCCTCCTCATTTCCAATTGGCCTTGCATTACTGCAGTCACCAAACACACATAGTGAGATTCAGCCCAATTTGACAGCTAGAATTCGGATACCACAAGCTCCATTTCTGTTTAAAAATTTGACTATTTCCATTGCACAAATTGCCTTCTTGGCTACTGGCCACCTATTGCAAATTGGCTGTACAGAAAGGATCAAACCAGTGCAAATGAAGAATTAATGACTCGGTGTGAAAGTACAGAAAGGGCAATACGAATGGCAGTGCCTAGCTCAGCACGTTTAGTTTCTCAAGACAGTCACAGCAGGAGACAAAGGACAGTAAACAAATACATTCTAATAAATTCCTTACGTGGGACAAAAGCAGAGAGATTAATCACTGTAATTTCCTAAAGGGCCTAAGATGGTACATCTAAAACCAGTACACAGTCACCAACCTAAGAACAAACCGAGTTAAGATTTGACAGCTGTGCCTCTTCTCCTCCATGTCATCAAAAGAAACCTGGACCAGACCTTCTCCTAGCTGGTGCCTTAACAACCCCACAAACCATCTGAACTCTGTCTTTATGATTGTGAATATATTAAGCACCAAACCAGCTTTTATTAAAACAAAAGCCTCCTCCCTTCCTTGCCTTAAGTATTGCTATACTACAGCAGCAGCATTGCAGTACTGTTTCATACTCTACTGAGTATCCATTTGCACTATTTGTAATACTACATATGCTCTCCTATTATAGATTAACCATCTATGGTTAATATCAAGCCACAAATACATTGGGCTCTTGGTGTAGATCAGTCACCAAACTCCTGTACACGTAGCAAAGGCTTAGATTACTCAGGTATCAGCAGTCAAACACAGAAACAGCCCACCCTATTCTACATGAGACGCGCCTGCACAGACAGAATACCTAACCAGCAACACCCCTGCTCTTGCCAACACATTTTGCAGAAAACTAAACTGCCCTGCACAGAAGTTTGCACAGCCATTTCAGAAAGATTCTTCCCAGTTATTTGCCATATACTGAATCACTGAAGATTACAGAGGAAATGTACTATTTAATTTGTGTAGGGACTGGGACTCTAGAGCCCGTGTTCCTACCTGTTGACACTACTGGGATATAGGACAGACTAGAAGTAGTGCAGTAGGCACAGAATTTCAGTATAAAACCTAACTCCTCAGAATGATAATGTAAATATACTGACACCTAAGCATAAGTAGCTTTCTTACACAGCTCTGTACCAGCATAGCAGAGCTTTTTCAGGCCAAGTTTTTATTTATACACTCTCTGTATGCAGGATTGCAGAGCTACACCTTCTTCTTACTCATTTCTTCCCTTGTTTTGCCCACCCCATTTGTTCTTATTTGTGTCCATCTTCCAATTCCTGTATTCCATCTCTCCACAGTCACCACATGAGATCATTTCTAAAAGTGCTGACACCACTCTGAGCCATTTGCCCCTTTGCAGCCTATCTTACATCTGTCTCCCTGTTCCTGCAGCAGGCTGTGGGCCCTTTTTTGCTGGCTCATCTATTTCCAGATTTCTCACTGTTTTACTCTTTCATGCACATTTGCCACTTTCACTTCATTCTTATTATTCATTCTGGCACACAAACACAAGGATGTGGTGAGGTCTTGCAGTCTCTATAGGCACGACCCACTAAATCTCTCTCCTTTAGTCTGCTTATCTGTAACTGGCAATGTCACAGAAGATGTTAAGACTGTTTAATTGATACTTACTATGTTTCATTTAGTCAAACTAAATTCGGAATTCTAGTGTATTATCACTGTATGACCAATAGGAAAGAACAAAAGGTGTTCAAACATTTACTTATTCAAGAGGAGTTCATCCCAATTACAACACATACCAGGAAACTTATTGTAAGAGGTAGATTGTGTTTTTGCAGCAGAAGTTTCCAGTATTTTCTGTATGCAGTGTAGGCCTTTACTGAACTTACAAACCTTCCTGTGAAACAGTTGTATATGTTATTGATACATAAAGAAAGCTGATGAATAGAGTGAAGTTGGGAATGGGCAATAATGACTCGGGTAGGACTGAGATAGCATAAGATAATGAAAGCAAGCAGGATGGGGAGAGCCTAGCACAGGACAGGACGAATGCACTAACTTTGAAATACTGCCCTCCTATCACAGTACAAAGCAGAACGGATGTGCTAACTTTGAAATATCTCCAATATTTCAAAACATACAAAGCATACCTAAAGACAACAATTTGGTAACAGTCCTTATGTGCAGATGTACCATAGCAACAGCATCGGGAAGACTGTGAGCCTGAGACACTCAACCAACGGGCACCAGGAGAGATATTACCTGTGTCAGGTCCAGGGTATATAACAGAATCAATTTTATTAACTAGGCATGCAATTTCTCCCTTGCCAGTATGGAGGTGTGCAACCACTACTGCAACAATGAATAAACTTTGCTGCTATCACTAAAATACTTGCCAGACTGGAAATCTTTAATTTTAAGTGTGTTTCTCACGTTACCTATTTCATGGACAGGAAGAGAGGAGATAGAAAAGGGAACTGAAAATCAAGAAATAAGCTTGAAGAAACAGACTTCAATGATAGTAATAAAAATTACCACAGAAAAAAATGACTTTTGATGCCCTACTTCAGGAAAAGCTTCAAGGAGAACAACAGCACCTAAAATACAAACCTGTCCCACATTTTCCATATCTGATGCTTCATTATGAATGCTCCCTGTAGGACTCATGCTGAGCATAAAGTAGTCACTCACCACTACAGTCAACCGAATGCTACACTTCATTATCTCAGAAATTCCTTTCATCCACTTCATTATCTAACCATAATTATAAAGCCTGTTCTAGTAGTGTTGTTGTATCCCAATCTCTCCTCCTTATGCTAAATAGCAACTGCTGCTAAATCCTCTTATCTGTTCTTTCCTACATTTTTCATGTCATTTTTCCCCTGTTGACTCCGTAACATAACTCTGATAAAGCCATTCAGAAAACACAATCACTCCTGAAGCAGAACTAATTACGGACTCTGTGCTGACAGTATGGGCATATATAGTTGAACAATATATATTATTACTATTCAGATTTTGTTTGTCTTACCTGAAAGAACATACTAAGGTGTCCAGTGTCGTACCCTCTTCTTATGAAGTATTTTATAAGTTGAAGAAAATGATTATACTAAATAAAGACACTGAAGTCTCCAACAGCATGTGGATTTTAATAAATGCACCTTTAGTCCTCAATGCATGCTATAATACCAAAATGTGTATTTTTCTGATTGCCAGAATGCAGAAACATGTATTTCTTTTCCTTAAGAAGGAATTTCGGAGATAATGAGATATAGCATTCAGCTGACTGTAGCAGTGAGTGATTATGTTCAGTGTGAGTCCTCCTCCTTAAGAAGAGAAAAGTGGAAACGAACCGTGGTCCTAAGCCTTATTAGGAATTGATCTAAAAAGATATTGTTTATCACGTTTAATAAAGATGATCACACCAATCTTAAATAAATAATAAACCAAAGTCAGTGATAACCTATTGCCATCAGAGTTACCCGAGTAGATGAAAAGTCCACACTGTGAAGAAATTTACAGTTTTCTCCTAGCGCCTGCAGAGATGCATCCATGATGCCTGAGCAGCTGCCCAGGTTCAGTATTTGTAAGAACTGGCAATTGAGCGCAAGAGCAAGAACTCCGCTGTCACTTATATTGCAGCACCTTTTAAAAGATGCTTCACGCAAATAAGGGCAGGATAAGGCCAAGGCTATGACACCTGTCAAAGAAACAGAATAATTAAAAAAAAATAATCAGTCACTGTAACATAATCACCCCACTCAAATCTTTGTGCTGTCCTCTGGTGGTCACTGACCGCTCAACTTTCATTCCATGCCACGTCAGCAAGATTCTGTACATGAAAATCATTTTGTGGTCACTTTTTTGTTTTGCTAATTGAAGGATAAGAAAAAATAAATTGACATCACCTAACAAGAGCAAAGACCTGATGAACGGTACTGCTGAAGAATGCCAGAGCTGATAAAGATTTCTAAAGCTGAATTCCATAATGTAAACAAGATACCTGAGGGATGTTATCTACATAAAGATATCAACTCAGTGAATGAGTGGGGAAAAAAAAAACAAAACAAAACCAATAAACAATGGCTTGAGATACCTCTGGAAATCGTGTTGTAGTTGCATCATAGTTTTGGTGTAACAATGTCTGTTCATAAAAACTGAAGTATTTCAGCCATTTGGTCAACATGGTTACATGGACAGTAGGTCCAATGTGATTAATGGAAAATGCCATCATGCAGTCAAGTGAGAGAAAAGACAGGGGATGAGAAAAAGTCAAGTTAATGAACCTTATGCTGTGCTGGAAAACAGGCATGTAAAACTTGCAGAAACAGAAGATGGAGCAGCATCCTCCAACAGTGAGGATGGTGGTAGAGAGAGCTGCTCTAGAGGAGAAAGAAAATAGGATAGGTGATAGGCTGACATTAGAGAAACTGAGGAAGAAGCGTAATTTTAAAGATAATTCAGAATGATAAGTATAGATATTTAGATATTTTTGGATATTTTGTGGAATTTTTTTGCTGGTCTATATGCATTGGAAGTCCTTGCTAAGAAGTACTGACAACCAGAGCAAATCCAGAGAAAATAGCATGATAAGTTAAGGGTTTAAATGCAGATCTAGGAAGAAAACAACTCCAATGGATAGGAGGGTCAACCTGAGATAAACAAAACTACAAAACCTTGACTGGGAGAAATCACAGCCAACTATACTATGCTGGTGGCAGGCAGAAAGAAGCAGTAACTTGGGGAAACTGCAGCAATAGCTTGCTGGCTCCTGAAGGAAGACACATGCTAGAATGTTTGAACACTGGGGAACATTCATCAGAAAAGTGGTCTTACTTAAACAGTCTGCCCAAGTGATGAGGGATGAGGAATGACCAAAACCAAGCACTAAAACCCCTTTGAACTGCAGAATGATTGCAGTAATTTACTCCAGTCCTCTCCACTTTCACACCAGGCCTTCATATACACACTTACTAAGTTCAGGTACAGAAAGGTTTAGTACTGCCTACAGGATTATTAGTGGACAGGAAGACAAAAAAAAAAAAAAGAGTTAAGTCCAATTGAGAACAATACTTGGTGTGGCACTACAATTAGCAAGAAGACAGTGCTTAGAGCAGAGGATTAAAGTGTTTAAGTCAAGGAGCAGCAAGATCAGGGCTGCTCTGTAAGCGAATGCAAGCCATGAGCATAGGTTAGATACAACACAGGCAGTGCAGTGCCCTCAGCAACAGGCCGCAGCCCCATGGCACTGAGCTGTGTGAGCACAGCAGAGAGATGACAGTACCAGGCCCTGCTGATGGTCCAGTGAACACCAGGCAACAAGGCAATGGGTCACATCCAAGGCAACTCAAAAAACCAGAATCAAAATAATAGTTCAGAAGGAGGACAGGAACCGTGACAGTTATGTCAGGCCCGAAGGCCCACGGGCGCCTGGTGTGATAAGGGGGGTCATGACACTGGTCATTAAGGGCTGTTGGTGCCCTCAGTGCCCTGCGGGTTGGCAACAACCAAAACATTTGCACAGAGGTGTCAGCAAGTAGCCAATAAAATCATAGGATCGTATTGTAGAATGGCTTGGATTGGAAGGGACCTTAAAGCCCAATCAGCTCTGCGTGCAGAGCTGCCACCCAGCCCTCAGGCTGCCCAGGGCCCCAACCAACCTGGCCCTGAGTGCCTCCAGGGATGGGGCGTCCACAGCTTCACTGGACACCTGTGCCAGGCCTTCACCACCCCAGAAATAACAAAAGTACATGAACTACAGATGCAGTTCAAGAAAGGAAATTATTTCAGAGATTATGGCAACATGGTGATTCCAGTTGTACAGAAAATTACATAATTTCTAGATACAAAGAAATAAAAATGAATGCTGAATGCTATCAGTGCATGTTACTATGTGAGAACTTCAAAGCAACATGGATAAAAGAGTATTTGTTTGTTTCAGAATTGGTTTACAGTAGAAAATATGGTAATGGCATGCAAATTTACAGGTTTCTTCAGAAAAAAAACCAAAAACCCATCAGTGAGATAGTAAAAGGTAACGTTTCTCTAAACTGCTTGTGTGTGTGTACACAACAGAAATGAGTGAATAAGAACTATTTTAACTTAAAAGTTTGGCGATCCTGATTTTCAGTATATTAAGGGCTCAGCTTGTGAGTAGGAAAGTTAGCAAAGTTGAATGGAGTAGGAACACATCGTTGTTAACTTATCAACAGCAAAGTAATCAGAAATCTCTACCCAAATAGAGAAAAAAAATCGACACAAAGACCTCTGGGTTCAGCTGCTACCTTAAGAAATGTAGTAGATGTCAATGGACTGATGAAGGGGAGGCATGAAGGGTCTCCCTTCATGAAGGGAGAAGGCAAGGGAGACCCTTCATGCCTTAGGGGAGATCCCTAAGCTGTCTCAGTGATCAAGAAGCACAACAGTGCAGGAACATTGAAAACAAGTAAATAAAATCAACTAAAAACATGTCACTGAAAGATAAGCACATCAATATGCAGTGCTAAGAAAATACAGACAAGGCTGGTTTGAAGTAAGGTATATAGTAACTCCAAATGAATATTTAGCCTCAGTTTTCAGTATGGATGAGCTAATGATGGAGCAAGGAAATAAGCATAGTGAAAAGACAGAACAAAGGTTGTGGGAAATAAAAAGTTAGCAAACTTAATTCTTACAAGCCAATAGCTCCTGACACAACTTAAGACTGCAGGTTAAGAATAACACTTGAAATACCAAATCCTAAAGTAAGCTAAATCTTTCAAGTAAGAGGAAATAATAAAAATAATCAAAATACAAAAATACAAAATACAAAAATAAAAATAATAAAAATACAAACTCATTTACTGAAGAACAAAATGAAGTGAAAAATACCATTAAATGAACACCAGCTTTATCAGTAACCTGATTTCATAAGACAACACCTCTTTCATAAGACAACCATTGTTCTAGGCCTATAATTTACACCACCAAAGTTACTTTTAATTAGTATTGGTGTGGCACTGGGGACCTTTTAAAGCAAGAGTTACTCTATGTATTTTTGCAATTTACTCCAATCTAAAAGAAAAAACAAAACAGAAACAAGATCCCAGTTATCTACACACAGATAACAAACATACCTTCTGAAGTGATTCCCAATCTGTTTTCTTTGCAGGAGTTTAAGTTGATTTTTTTCAGTTGCTTGCAGTTACAAAGCTGCAATAATGCATTATCTGAAATATCACATTCTCGGAGGTCTAAAGATTCTACAGCAGGGTGCAATACCTGTAACAAAAACCTGCTATGTCACAGAACTGCAGATTTTAATCCAAAATACTGGTAATGTTAGACATCACAGAGAACTTTTTAAAATACCCACTAGAGGATGGAGTTGTCAGTCCTGACAATTAAAATCCATAAAGAGAACACGTTAGATTTGCCACAACAGTTCACCTGCCACAGAACAAGTGTTGCATTTCTGTGATAAATCTAGAGTAGGAGCACATTAACACTACTGTTTCACCAGCGGATACCACAGTTGTTAACACCAGTATGTCAGTTATGTTTACCAGGGATAATATTCTCAGATTGACCAGAAATTGGATGGCAGAAAGCTGAAGTGTAAACACTGATTACAAACAAATGTAATGTCTTAAGCAGATTTAAGCTGAGACTTAAAAAATATTTTGCCCCAGAGTATTTTTCTCACCCCCACACACGCAGAGGTACCAAATCCTCATTAAAGAGTCTCTTTAAATCCCACAAGACCACAGGTCTTCCTTTCCCCCAAAGTGCATTTATTAAACTTAGACCCAAAGTGATGGAAGGCCTCAGATTGTGGTAATAACCACATATCTTACCTTTCATTTCACTTTCGGTGACTCTTATCACTTTTTACTAAATATTATTTGCAGTCCTCCTCTTCCCAGACCTTGTGTCACTATGTATTCTGATCAATAGGCAAATGTTAGATCATTACCTTATACTACCCCCTTCAGCTTCTCACTCCCTCTTTTAACTCACAAAGAACAAGGAACACTGTTCTTATGTTGTTCAAATACATATGATGCTGACATCTTCACTAGTGAAGTCAAACAGCCTTCTGACAAGGAGGAAGAATTCTAGCAGGCTGTAATTGCAACCTTCTTCCAATGTGGCAAACAGAAGGCAGCTTTGATTGTATTTTCTAAATACTAGAAGCCTCAAACACATCTGTTTATGCCATAAAACCTCCAACACGCTTGTAAGTAGTTTTCACAAGAGTCACATTCAATTTCTATTTCAGCTGTATTTCTGAATTTGTATCTCATGAGCTAATACCAAACCCAGAGTTGACATGCTTGAAGTCAAAGTGATCACAAAGTGATCATCAATGTTTATTGAAGATGCTTTCCCTGGCTATCAAGTTTCTTCCACAACTTCAACTTGCCCAGATCACCACAAAAGAGAGCAAACTGCTGGTTTTGAAGCCACGTGAAAAACCTCATCAGACATCAGAACCGTAAAACAAGAAAAAGAACTATTAGATGTAGAGAGTTCTAAGCAAGAAGCCACATTACTAAACACTTTACTATACACTATACACTTTAAATAGCATTATTTAAAGTAGCTGGAGTATGAAGTTCTCCTAGCTGATGATTTTTCACACATTTAGTTATTACTTAAAGGTTTGCTTTCTGTTGCTATTCACAGATTCATTTTCATTGAATACAGACACTAAAATCTAATTTGTCTCAAAGAGGTGGAATTAAGATAAAGATTGTTTGGATGCACAATACAGGAAATTAAAGTACAGCCTTATATCCTGCGGACAAATGCTGAAGTGCTTTATGTATCTTTATGGTAAAATTGAGCTGCAGTAAGGAGTTTACATCTCATGTAAAGCTGCTCCAAGCAAAAAGCAGAGTAAGGAAAAAAAGGATGGTAGAACAAGTCTGGGCAAGAGCAGGATGAGGTGAATAAAAGCTAATGGATAAATGCAAGCAAACAGAATTTCAACTACAAGAAGTTAAAACTGTAAACAAAATGCTGGACAACAGCAAGGAATAAACAGGCACAAAAGCCAATGAATCATCACAGCCTGGAATAATCCAAGAGAACAGATCTGTTGAGATTATAAAAGAAAAGAGCAAGAGGGAAGCAGTAGCAAAGACAGAAAATTCCTTATCCATATAGAAGAAGAATTGAGATTTTGCAAATGTTCAGAGCATAAAATATTTGGTTATGCAAGCAAGGAACAATAAGAAGAGCTAAACTACTTAAGGTGGTTTTGCTGTGCTGAACAGAAAGCATACCTGCAAGATGAAAGAACATGAATGCTGAACAGCGTGGAGAAACAGCATAATTGCAGAATCATGAAGGTGGTCAGCAGTTAAAGAAAAGCACAAATGAAATAAAAGTAAACCTGGAAACTGTTAGGAAAGAAAGCTAAGATAAACCACGCTCGAGGAAAGTGATTATAGGAAACTGCAGGAACAGAGAAAGGAAACACACAAGAAAAATAACCAAAATGAAATATTCAAGTGAAAAAACAGCTCCAAGAAAAGGCAGTGACCAACTGCTGAGCAAAGACAGATGAGATTTTACAAGGAGCCAGAGGAAAAATTATAATTCAACTCCCCAGTTTCTTCTCAGATTAAAGATATCTTAATGTCTTTGAATGTTTATACATACAGTCATACAGTTATAATTACATGCATCTCTCATGATGCATAGTGAAAACAGCCAAAATCAAACTGTGTCAACACAAACTCACCAAAATGACATGAAGAACACTAGAGAACTTATTATTTTTTACAATTAAAAATGATGCATACAGAAGCTAAAAAGGTTTGTTTGAAGGTTTTCCCACAGTCCTTTTAATTCTCCTCCACACTTTAGTTTCACTGTTTTGGCTCTGTGGAACTGATACTGTGTCTCTTGGGAACTGCAGCTCAAAAAAGCTACGAACAGGGAGTCATTCATCTCCTGCTCACCAAGGTCAGCCTTTAGCTCTCCTCAATTCTCACACTTCCCTTCAAAGCCAAACAAGATAACAGTGGATGGATACCGAAACAGATGTGCCTCTTAATTTACAGCCAAAGAAAAGTCATTTGCTGACGACCAAAAGTGATTAGAGAAGTTGAACCATCAATTTTGAGCTCTAGAACAATCATATTTCAAAGAATGACAATGAATCCTAATGTCAAGAGTGTGACAGAAACTTAGCAAGTTCCTGAAATCTTTTACCAAATTTTGCACTGGCTTCTTGAAACACACTACAGTCTCTAGCATAACCAGTTTAAAACAGCCTACTCTGCAGTACTGAAAAGAGATTATGTTTGTCAGCTTATTAAAGAGAAGTAAATTGTCACTGACTGGAAAGTGTTTTTCATTTACTTACCCATACAAATGTATTTTGTATAAGCTTTATTATTTTTAATACATGACTGTTAGCATTACAAAATGTAGGGAAAAGAACAAGAAAAAAGTGAAGATAGGGACAGCCCTGAATTCATCTGTTGTCACACATAAGGAGTTACAGCTTAGTTCATCCTTATGAATTAACTACCACAGATGGAACAGTTCTAACAGTTCTTAGTGGGTTCTTACCTCACTGATGTTTGAATCTGTTATTTGCCCTTGTCTACTCATTAATTTAATTAGTTCATCCTTAATGTTAGGTGGCAACGTCTTGATATCTGCAGTGTATCTGGAAAGGTTCTTTGTCAAATACTGAACGCACCTGAAATATAGGAAAGTTACACAGTCAAAAAAGGCATCACATATTAGAAACAAAACAATTAACCCAAGAGCTGGACCTCATTGGGTCCAGCTGTTCCATACAGCCACAAGGTATTCAAATAGCCTCATCAGCAGCAGTTATCTTGGAAACTCAGCTGCCCCGGGCTGAGAAGTAAGGCTCTCACAGGAACAACTGGCTGAAATCCTATCGCAATCAGAAACACCAGTTAGTTTGAATCAAAATAGACATTCTTTTCTTAGCAATAGCTAGGCCTCCTTCTCCTTCGCTCTCTTCAAAACATTCATCAACCTGATGCTCCTACACACCAGGCTAGAGATTCTGAACAGTAACACCAACACGTACTGTTTCACCCACATTTTCTGTATGTGGGTGCCATGATTCTGCCCTCTGTGTACCTTTTGTATCAGAGGTCCAAAACTGATTCTTTGTTCTGAACAACCTCTCCCCCTTGCCAGCTAATCAAACTCAACTTACATAAGGCTTCTGTCAGGAGGTAGTGCTTTGCTAAAACACTGGATGTTAATCTCAGAGAAACACAGGGCTCAAGTATCTGTGTGAACCAGGAAGAATCTTCACTTTTGCAGCTTCGGGTTGTTAAAATCACAGGCTCACTGAAACACCAGAAGCAATTTTTGGGAATGCCTTCTAAGCACCTTGAGCAGACTGACCTTCAGATCATCAGCACTCACTGGCACACTTAGAGACAGCTAGTCCCTAAAGAAGCAACTTTCTTTGTCTCTGAAGGGAAAGATTATGATGAAAAATTAAGTCCCTCGGTAAAAGAGGACAATTAGTTAGCATGAATCCCACCCATATCCAGAGACAAAAGGTAACACTTTGTCTTCCAGGAAATTACAGGACTTTAAAAAGCATTATAGTAGAGCAAAACCAAAACTGGGGAAGGATATCTCCCACCACATCCTGTTACTTAATATGAGCATATGTAATCAGTGGAGTGCCCTAAACTGAAAGTTCTATCATCTGCTGACCATAGCTACCTGAACTAGATTCCCTATCTTCATAGATCTTGATAACTAATTATTTTACAAGCAATCCAGCTTACATCAAGTTACGTCACATGTAAAAGAAAAGCAGAACAGATGTTAGAGCTTGGGCACATCAGAAGAAAAGAACCAGAAGAAAGGAAGCTAAAACAGACAAGCAACTAAATTAGATACATCTTCCTACATTCTTTAAGATTAGGTAACTTATATTCACAGCAAGACCACTCAAGGGAGATCTGTTTTGAAACTGAAACTCTTTCAGCACTCAGTTTTTCTACATGCAGATGCAGCCATCTGCAAACGTTCTGATACCTTCCTTAAGGTCTCAGCTTTCAAACACACTGACAGTCTGGGGGAAGTGCTCACCTGCAATGGGCTGGCCCCCTGCTGTCTATGAACAACACAGGGAATGATCAAATCTAAGCAATTCCTAACTGCACGAGCAGAACAGTTCTTTACAATGTGGTGATAATCTTGATTAAAACACCTTAGAACGTGCTATTTGGCTTTTGTTGCTCTAAGAGCCTCATTTTTGACTGTAGAAACTGTCTTGGTTCTGAGCATGTCTGGGCATGAACAAATGATCTTAAAACACCTGCCAGAGCTCTGAGAGCCTCCACACAACTAAAGCTGTTAGCTGCCCCAGCTGCCTCCACCTCCCTGCTAAATGCCTCCTTGGAAGGCCCTAGAACTCTTATGCAGTCAGCCTGCAACCAAACATAGTATGTAAACCAACCACAGGCTTACCTCAATGTGCCAGCCTTTAAACTGCATCAGCTGTGTAAGTTGGTCATTTCTCACCTTGGGAACAGTAAACTTCAGAAAACAGAAACTAATACAGGATGTAAAACGTAACTTGAGAAAAAAAAGAGTTTCTAAATATTTTTTATATGATGCTCTCATGCAAAAGAGGAGTGAACTCCAGAGTGCTCCAATGCTCTTCTGGGGTGGGAGCAAAGGGGAAAAAAGGCAAAAGCAGGAAGCAGCAGCAGAAACACCTGTATAAACGCACATTCAGGTTTGAAGATCTTAAAAACAATGCCCTTATTAAAGGAGTGCTGCACATACACAGATTTGTTTCAATTTTCAGTTTCTGCTGCAAGTTCTGCTAGTTCAACACCGGACCCAAAGGCCTAAGTAACAAGCTTAAAGCACAGATGGCCATCACCTGATTAGAGTGAGATACAACACAGCACACTAAAATAATACACTCTGAGGGTTTTAAAATGTAATTACGAGTGTCAAGTATTAATCCTACTGGTACAATGGATAAGATTGCTGCAGTATTACTAATAAAATAGCATTAATATCCAACTGGAAGTAAAAACTGTTAAGTGTATCAACCTCCACAATACGTGTGGAGAGAAATTACTAGGCCTGATATACAACTAACCAGGAGAATGCAAGCAGGCAGCGTGATCCATAAATTTAACAGATTAATCATGCAAAACAAGATTACAATGGAGTAAGAACACTTGTAGTGCGTCACTTCAGAAGACACTGTAACGAGGAGGCGGTGATTTCAAGCAGAATCCAGAGTTTAACCACATGCTGCAGCTGTAAAGATCCATCAGCCAGTATGCACCGCCACTGCCTGAGCACTCATGTGGACTGCCTTAACTGAGCCCTATGGAGATGTCACAGTCTGTTGGATGAACTTGCTGATGAATAACAATGAGAGCTCTCCCACTCAGCACATGCAGGTTACACCATCTACAACCCTTCCTTTTTTTAAATGTGATAATTCTTTACCTGTCAGCAGATATGATAAAAGGTTGTTTGCTTCCCAGATAATCCTATCAAAGCACTAAAAACTACATTGGTGACCCTTATCACTGATAGATCTGTGCAGCATGCTGATTAATGTGAAGGGGCATCCTATCCTGGGCTAGGATAAGCCAGACAGACTTTCTGCACCTTTGTACTAGCCTGTGTATGCACTACAGTATGATCACCCCTTCTCGTTGGATGGCATTCTACTGAGATACACAAAAGAATGGGCGAGCCTTCCTTTGTCACGAAAGTGCACACACTTCTGTTAGGGGCTAAGCACTTAGAATTATATAATAACAGAATCATTGAGGCTGGAGAAGACCTCCAGCATCACATAGTCCAACCAGCAACCCATTCGTACCATGCCTGCTAACCACATCCCTCAGTGCCACATCCACATAGCTCTTGAACACCTCCAAGGACAGTGACTCCACCACTTCCCTGGGCATCACCACTCCTTCCGAGAAGAAGTGTTTCCTAACATCCAACTTGAACCTCCCCTGGGGCAACTTAAGGCCATTATCTCTCATCTTGTTGCCTTTACCTGGGAAAAAAGCCTAACCCCCACCTCTCCACAATCTCTTTTCAGGTCGCTGTAGGGCATGATGAGCCTTCTCTTTTCCAGGCTAAATAACCCCAGTTCTTTCAGCTGCTGCCCATAAGACCTGTACTTATTTGACATGACACCCACATTTTGGCCACAGTAAAGGAACGTTCCTGGCAAGGTTGAATTAAGGAATGACAGGTTGTTGATTAGCTATTGTATTACGGTGCAAGCTAAGCAGGAATTTGGAGAAAAAAGGATAAGGGATGGAGTGCTGTGGTAAACTGAATGGACAGAATGTAAACATCAGGAGGAAGTGCTGAGGCACTGTCAGCAAGAACCAGTTTACTTCTGATAGCTGAACACAAAACTAGGCTAAAGGTGAAGACTCAAAGAGACTAACTTCATCCCCATGACCACCAAAGGAAGACCCCTGTTATGAAGCACGCATGCGTCAAGGGGAGAAGCAGCATGCAGATGAGTTTCCGGAAAATTAATGAATATGCAACTAAATTCCACATCATGTTTTGAATACGCATAAGGTTGCTTTACAAATCTGTACTGCACTTGCTTGTTGGTGTGCATAAGGAGGAATTGTCCCCCATGTGCCAGCTCATTGAATAAACATGCCTGCTTTATAACCTAACTCTGGGTTATAGACTCTGATTCCGCAAATCAAGCTAGACTCATCCTGATAGAGGCAAACTGTCATCATATACTGTAGTACATAGAAAAAACTGTATCTAAAATCAAAATACAAACTTTGCTGTAGGGTGGATTGGTTTTTTTTGACTATAAGGGGACTACCCCAGCCATGTGTGAATAGGTACCTGCCATTTGAGACCAACTACTTAGTTCAATAAGCAGAAAACACTTCAACAACAGCGTAGAGAAATGGAAATCTAAAGGTCCCTGGTTCGTTCCTGGGTTTTGGTACCAAATGATGGAGACCAGCTCAAGACGCCTGGGACAGGCAGGCTTAGGCTCTGGTGGCGCAAAAGCAATCTTTATTGTTGTTACAAGCTTTTTATATCTCTTTGCTATGCGAGTATACAATACCTAAATCAGATAACATTCATGCAGCTGGCAGTAATACATCATTGTTTAATTAACTCTTTTATGGTTTATGATCAGCACAGTGATCAAAAGGCGTTCTATTCACAGAACATGTTCTGCTCTTGGTCACGGAACAAAGAAGCTGTAACTTATGCTTGCCAGTCTCACATGACAGTCCTTCCCTTTCAGGAGGGGCTGCATGTTCCCTGTTTGACCCTTTCAGGCCAGCCAGGTCTGTTTTGCTTAACAGTCTTCCTCAGAAATCAGCATGAGTTATGCTGAGTCTCTTAGTTACTATCAACTGTTTCTTGCTGCTGAGTTTTAAAATTTGTCTTGGGAGAAAAAAATGGAAGAAACACTGAATTGCTTGGGTTGAAAAGGGACCCTTAGAGGTCATCCAGTCCAAGTCCTGCTGCAAGGAACAGGGATAACCACAGATAGATCAGGTTGCTCAGAGCCCTGTCCAGCCTGACCTTAAGAAGAATTGCACTATTTTCAAAACCTGCCTGTTTTCAGAGGACATCTATGATTTGATGCTTTGATAATTAATCATTTATGTTTTCACTATTCTAGCATCTTATATGAAAAAAAATATGTATTTACTGGGTATACCATATGAGATGAAAGAAGAAACGGTAAGATGTCCTTGCAAAATAAGGTAAGGCTGATGAATAAAGGCTGTGAAGAAGAACTTGATAAACAAACTTATCTTGCAGATATACAGGAGGAGATGCTAGCTTAGCACCAGCTTGTAAATCTTGTTTGCTTGACAGGACAAAGACGGATGGACTTTGTCAAGCAGCATACAAAGATAGCTCTAGTTGAGCAAAACAACAAACTCGACTCTAGATTATAAAGTATGCATAAACAAAAGAAACAAAGGATGGTACCTACTGGAGGGGATGAGCATGTGCTAGGCAAACTGAGAGTGCAAACCCGAAATAGCTTAGCCAGTGGGAAAAGAGGGAGAGGAGGGCTCACCACAGAGTCCAGGGACAGGGGTAAAAAAAAGGGTCTGTGAACACTGATGAGTTGAGAGATCCTACCAGGAAATGCTCCCAGTGGTCTCCCCATTTATTCTAATAAAGCAAAATAAAAACTCCTCTTTTTGGGATAAAGATAACTGAGCCAGCCAAGTGGAGCAGAAATTTTCCCAACACGTGGCAATTACAATCTTACCTGCTTTAAAAGAATAAGTCTAAAACAAACTGCACTATTCAACAGCTCTTTTTTTTCCACCTGTCAAACTGACAGTTTATCCTTACCGCCTCCACCTCCCTCATAAGCGCAAAGGCCCGTGACAGCACGACAGAGCCAGAGCAAAACACCTCCACTCAGAGCAGACTCACTGGGCCCAGCAGCAACCAAGGAAGCTTCACCACCCCTCCGCCTGCAGACCTGTCAAAGGCCGTGCAGCTCCCCACCTGCCAAACCAGGTCAGCCCTCTGTCACTCCAGCCAGACGGCCCTCGACAAGCCCTGTCACCCACCCTGCCACCCATCACACCCGTCACCCATCCTGCTGACGTTGAGCTCAACCGAACCCAACCGCCTGCCGTGTCCAACTGCCAGCCGACACACGCCGCGACCCAGACCCGAAGCCTGCCGGCCCCTGCCAGTCCCGCTCCCCCAGCGGAGGGCAGCCGGCCCGTCCTCATGGCAGCTCAGCGCCGGCGCACACCGCACCGCGGAGAGGGGCCGGGGGACTGCGGGGGGAGGCGTAGGGGCGGCACTCACAGGTCCAGCAGAAGCCGAACTTCCCCGCTGCCACCATCCCAACCGCCGCTGAGGCGGCTCATAGCGACGGCGGGGCACGGGGAGCCGACCGAGCTCAACCGTTAGGGAGAACGGCGAAATGGCGGCGGCTCCCCGCGGCCGGGCATGATGGGAGGTGTAGTCCCGCCACATCCCGGGCTGCTCCGCCTCAGAGAGCCGCGGCCGTGCCTGAAAGAGCCTGAGAACCCCGATCTCGCACAGACAGGGACTGCCTTCCCTTTCTCCCCGCATTAAACATTTAGCAGAGTATCTTCTCTAGGTGAAGCGTGTGGGAGCTCGGGTAGGTTAAGAATTCCCTGACCTAATACAGCACTAGCTAAGTTTTTTAATCTTCCCCAATTCCTCCTTCTAATTTTGACAGTTCCTAGGAGTTTGTAAGTACACTGGGAAATTGAAAAAAACACGTGTGTACAAAGGCTGATATGATGACTATCAGCTGCATCAGCATTTTCTTAACTCATACACTCTAGTGAGGGAACCAGTAAGTCAGCCGTTTGCATGTACTCTCGAACCCAAGAGAGGTCCTGAGACAGTAAGCTGAAGAGCACAAGATGTAAAGGGTCCATAACTTGGTTTGCTAACTCAAAAGGAACCGCTTGGTTTTGCCAACTCAAAAGGCACAAATAACACAAATAGCATCGCTTAATTTAACCTTTTGCTAACTCAAGAGGAATTTATTGCTTTGAGGAATTTGTTGCTTAGTTTAACCTTTTGCTAACCCAAGAGGAATTTACTGCTTAGTTTAACCTTTTGCTGGCCCAAGTACATTCTCAAAAGGGAGCTTTCTCAAGTCAGGAGAAAGGGGCCCCTAAGAAAACAATGGAAAGAGAAGATAAACAGGATAAGAAATTGCTGAGGCATGCAGGGCGGGAGAAGAGCTCAGAACTGGTCGGAAGGAACGGCGAGGAAGATGTCTCACTTCATCCTGGAGCAACTACCAGATGCGGAGGAAGACATCGAGCCTTCATCCAATGGAAGCTACTGCACATGCACTGGAGAAGGAGATGGTATGTAAATGAATTCCCAGAAAAGTAATGAATATGTCAATGGGTCTTGGGTAAAACTGCTGAACATGTATGGCTTGGATTATAAATGTATTGAGATCCCACTCTCTGGTGTGCATGCTAGGAGGAATGATCCCCCTCGCACCTGGCATGTGGCGCAGCGCTGAAATAAAGACGCACCTGCTCTAATAACTTTATGTGGGTTAGAGAGTTTGTTTCTGCAGATCAGTACCATCTTCCAGCACCTCCGCAATATTCTAGTTTGCTTCCAGATTACATTCAAGTTGGTGTCTCAGAACCCTGTGCGAGATGACACTGTTTTTGCATTAGTAATAGAATGCTGTACCAAAGGGATGCACCTCAGGCTTGATACTAGATCAGTTCCAGTCTGTGGTTAAAGGATGCAGTATGTGCATTCTTGAGAGATAAGAGGAGACCAGCTGGCATGTTAATTTGTGTACTCTCCTCCCTTGGATAGCTGGGGGGAAGGGTGTGTTACCAAAGGTAAAGGCTGTAAGACATACATCTGCACCTAGAACTGCCAAAGAAGAAACAAACGGATCTGGAAGATATCCAGGATCTGGAAGCAGGAGATAAAGGCTTGGGGACTGTTTTGTGGATTCTGCTTGCTTAGAGAAACAAAGACTTTGTCAACCACTCAGGGGATGTGCACATGAAGAATGTAAACCTGGCAGCAGGGGAGGGACTCAGCACTGGAACTAGGAGATATAAGGGCTCATTTTTCTAACAGCAGGCACTACTGCTTGCAGGACATCCTCCACTGCAATCATGAATTTTTTCCACAAGAGTTCCAGTCTCCAAAAAAATCATTTGAGGCATTTCTCACAATTATTTGCCTTTTTTTTTTTTTTCCCCTTTGCCTAATAAGGTGCTTACTCAAAGTTCTAGTTCTGCTTATAACTTCCAGATGTACTGTTTATCTATAATAAACATCCTTCTTTACCACAAGTAAGAGGAGCAACATCCTTGAACTACGGCCATAAGTCCAAAACAAAGACCAATCATTAGAGACCAGGTGTGTTGGAAAAGCCTGTGCCCAAACATGGA